CCCTGCGGCCCTGATGCGGGACTGGTGCGTAGCTCGTAGCCCGTCAGATCCCGTCTATAGTGTAGTCAGCTGCTACCGCGGCTGGAGCACCTTTCGTCGGGCAGTTCGAAAAGTCCGTGCGGAAAAAAAAGTTGACGGCACGTGCCCGCCAAGCTTGGCTATCTTGCCCACGAATCGGCCCTCGCTTCGACCAGCTCGTGTCCATATTACGTGAAGCGGCACCGGCCTCGCCGACGACACTCGCCCGAACCCTGCTCGCGGTGGCGGGGTGTGAGGCACTGCGACGAAGGCTGGGGCATCAAGCAAGAGGACCGCGATACCGCGACTGCTTTGACAGCGATGCCCGATGCACCGCTGCCGCTGGCAGCCGCAGTGTTAATCTGCATTACTGCGGCCGAGCTGGCGCCAGGTGATGAGACGACCTACCGGGCCCTCACGGACCCCGCGCGTCGCCAGCCCACCTTGGTGGCCTGGGCTGCAATCGGCGGAGCGCACAAGCCCAGCAGCATACTGGGCAGGCATGGCTGATGCTTTGCCGGTTATCCACGCCCGACTGCCTCAGTTTGTCGAGCTTTATCAGGGAGCACTGGAGCGTGGCGGCGACGACGCCCCCAGCCTGCGCGCCGTTGCCGAGGCCCGCGAGCTCCTACAAGCAGAAGGTTGGGAAGCCTGCCCAAATTGGCGAGCGATCCTCCAAGGAGCCCGCCCGGCCCCACCGGAACACACCGGCCCCAGAGACTGGCCACATGGTTGGCAATTTCATGCGTCGCGAACTCGCAACCAATATTTCCGCGACAGTATGATGCTGCCGGCTATGCCGCCGGATGCCCGGCCGTTGGTGCGGTCCCAATCAGGGCCTCATGCAGGGTCGTGGCTCACCGCCATACCAGCCGAGCCAGCCATGACGCTCGCGCCCCAGGCCATGCAGCTAGCACTGCTCGCTGAGCGCGCGAAGATAGTCGAACGAGCCTGGGTCCGCGTCGCGCGCGAAGCCGTCGGTGCCGAAGGGCAGGTCGTGCCGCAACAATGGCTTGTCCACACCACAGCACCCGGGGTGCGTGCGGATGACAGACACCGGTTAGGTGTGGTCATCTACGGAGCGACGCCCAACGGCTCCGCGCTTTGCTGCGATGCGACACTGGTATCGCCACTTACGCGCACAGGACACCCGCAACCATGCACGGCCGATGTCGACGGCGCCGCCCTGCGGACAGCAGAGCGCCGCAAGGCAGCGACCTACCCGGAGCTCCGGAGCCAAGGGCCGCAGAAGCTCGTCGTGCTTGGCAGCGAGGTCGGAGGGCGCTTCAACGGCGACGCACAAAGCTTGGTGCGAGACCTGGTTCGCCTCCGGTCGTACAGAGCGCCGCCAGCCCTACGGGCCGCAGCGGCTTCAGGCTGGACGCGTCGCTGGTGGGGCATGCTGTCTGTCGCAGTGCAACAGGCGGTTGCCAGCACTGCCTTGGGCCAGCCATGGCCCCAACCACCGCATGCTACCAGCATTGCAGGCCCACCGCTCGACCGCATTAATTATCGACCTCGCAAAGGCCGATGGGCCGAGCCGCCTGCCGCTGCGACCCCGGTAGTAGCAGTAGATCTTCCGTAGGACCCACAGACCTGACACGAAGTGGGCAGGTGCAAGAAAAAAACCGTCACTCGTCACGCATGCCATGTTCGTTTTTTCGGGCAGCGCATGCTGCGTGTACGCGCACCGGACTGGGCGAGGCCGCGACGAGCTGGTGCGTACAGCGGCAGGTCCTTGCCATGCCTTTGCCAGCGATTTCCACTACCTTAAGTGCCTGCTGCCGCACCCCACGCCCCTTCTAGTTATAGCGCAGCTGCGCCTGCTGACTAAATCAAGTCAAATCAAGTCCAGCACAGCATCAAACATTGTGTCAAACTGCGGTTAAGCATGACATCACGTCATCGTCAAAATCATTCTGAACAAAACCTGATTGTGTTCAGAGCTGCACAAAATCCAAGAAAGCATCACGCGCGACATCGAAAAATTTGCTCACACACTCATCTCATTCCGGTTGTCAATTCCAGAGCAGCGTGCGAAAGCTTCGAGATGCGTTGGCCAGGCGTTTCGAGGTCTACTGTACCAGGAATTCGTGCTCCACTTGGAAACCAGCTCATTGCACGATTAACCCACCGGTCCGCTGGCAAGTTTGTCACATGGTGTGCTACATTCCAGCAAGAAAGGAGGCATTTGCAAGACCAGCTTTGCAACTGTAGGGTTCGAGTCATCTGCTGGACATACTGGTTCCAATTGTGCAGTACTTCACGCCAGGGCATAACACCAATCAAACCCCGAAGGTGGTCCAACCTTGCAGAGATCAGGTTGGGAAATTTTACGACGCCCTGCACCAAGACATGCCGCCGGCGTTACTACGGCGTCGAAAAATTTGATTCGAAGTGATAATGGGACATGCTTGTCGCGTAAAATCCATTTGTTGGCACAGAATGTGCGTGCAGCAGCATGGAGATGAAATTCAATATCTGCGGTTTGGTCATCATCCATAGACAACTGATAGCCCATCCATTTTTGAGAGGAACTGCCGTGAACAACGTCGATGTAAATGTCTGCATGAAGCCATGCTCGATCGGGTGGCTGAGCCTCCGAGGCAAACGAGGGCTCAACACTCACCCTTACACACCGACCATGCAACGCACGCACAGTTGGTTCTTCGTTCCCTTGTTACATGCTGCCGTCGGCAGCCTTCACCCCGGGTGGAATTTTTGCTTCCGTATGACTTCCCTTTCCCGTACGCCAAGCACCACCAGTCGATTCAGAGGCCCTGGTGCTCGCGCTGCATACATTGCAACAGCTCGCCTCCGAAGCGGGGCGAGCGCTGCCTGTGCCGGAAGCACAGCTCCTGCTCGCGCTTGCTGCTGAATCCAACCGCTTGCCAAGCAACGCCCTGGTACACTTGCCTTGGGCCTGGCGATTTGCTGCACTGCCCGCGTCGATTGGTTGCCCGTACCTTAGCCCAACAGTTCGCGTCACACTTCCAGGCAGCGTGCAACCCGCACCAGTACGCCGTGTCGTCGTGTGCAAGTGCCTTGGTGAACACCTTGCACGCCCGCACCCAAGCTGCCACACATCTCGCAAGTGTTAGCGTACTTCGATGATGTCTACATCCTTGCCTCACCGGACCGGGGTGCACTGTTCTACCGCCCTCTCGAGGAGCTGATGTGGCAAAGCGCCCGACTGCGCTTGAGATGCAGTTCCACAACGCTTTCCCGCGTCGGCAGTGCGGGTTGGTGATCGTGCGTTGAGCCCGGAACAGTGTGGCCTCGTTGCTTTGGGCGTGCCCCTCGGCAGTCCGGTGCCGGTCTCCTCCAGGCATTCTCTGCCATGTACACGACAGCCATATCAGCTGGCTGCTCCTCTGGTGCTGTGCAGCTCCACGCGCGCGCAACATGCACTCCGGTTTTGCCCTGTGCCGCCGCGACTCTGGCTTTGATGCCTCGGACTGGTCCACCAGCAGCGCACCCCGTCCCTAGAACCCTGAAGCCCCTCGCGAGCGCTGGCCATTCAACGGCAGGCCCACGCCTGCGACCATCGCGCAAACGAGATGCACTTTTCTGACCTCACACCCGCATCTCGTGCGACATCTCGTGCAATACCGGCGGCTTTCCCGCAATGCGAAGTGCCCACATTAATACAACCAAACCTCCGAAACACAATGCCGCTTCCATGCAGCCCGAAATCTTTTTGGATCGCACAGTCCGTAAGCAAACGCCAGATTTTAGCTACTTTGCCCCAGAGCTGATTCCAAACAGGTTCAGCGCAGGTTCCGTCAAAAGAAGGCATGGTCGTGTCGCATGATTCCCTGTTTCCGGAGCATTGCACGACGCCGGCACATGGCGTCCTACCCCGCATCTTGCCTCAATCTACTCCAGACCGTCTTTCGGCTGAAGGCCCCAAGCGCTCTCTGCTGGGAAAAATCACGGTGAGGCAGCGGCATCGGGAGGACAGAAGTTTTGGCCAAGTTTTGACCTACTAGAGCTTTTTTATCTGAAGAAGTGCCGGATCAGCAACGAGTGCGAACTACTCGGCCTGGCAAGCGGAGTATTTATACACGGTTTTTTAAATCTGGACGATACCTGTCCTGAGTTGGGTGTGGATACTGTAAGGGGTCCCAAAAGGTTTATTCCATGTTGCCGCGCGTTTTGCCCGGCCCCACGGCATCTTATGCGTGCTGTTGCCACATCAAAAAACCTTGTCGAGGCAGGACTTTTCGTGAAGATGTTGTCGGCGTTGGTTTTAGTGGTTCGAAGCTTGAAGTTCGATACTGTCAGTAGCGCCAGCGCAAGTTTGTGTTGTCAGGTCATTGGCGGCCTCAGTGCAGACCCAGCCTCGCAAATTGCAGAAACTTCCAACAGAGCGGCTTGTGCAGCGATCAGCTACCAGTCAGGCAGCACCACCAGGGACAAGAACATAGAACAAGTGCCGAAAAACGACCGCACAAATTCCTTCGATTGAAACCCCCGCAATCAACACACAGGCAAACACTTTACAACCAACCACGTTGCCGAAAATAAGCTTGGGCAATCCTCATAAGATGTGCCGGGGCAGATCTGCAGAAACCCGAGCAGAAAGTGCAGTCGCGTGGGGCCAGCATTCTTCAATCATGCTACGTGGCATGCGTCCTCTCGGCTCGAAAGCGCAGAAACATGGACATGCTCAACACTGGATACGGAAGGGAGACTAGGCTGAAACGAAAACCCAGCAGACAGATGAGCAAAGGTACGACATCGGATGTCAAACAAGTCTGCGCAGACCATCTATGAAAGGTCTTGAACACGCTCGAAAAATATGCACCTGGATTGACCAAGAAAGGGCATTTGAATGTCTTAGTCGATGCATGCAGTCGGACATGTTTTGGGTAGTGGTATTCTGTCCATACCATGGGCAAGCCCATGTAGGCGTTCACATTCCATGCAAGGTTGAAGCACGAAATATTAGACATGCGCTTCGCTCTCATGGTCATGCTATGGCGGCGTTGATTACACCCTGGGTTCATGAACCGCTTGCAGCACCTCCTAGCTACTTTGACGGTCTGCCACAACAATGGTGTTCACCTTCAGCTGTACGACCATGCGTGCACAGGGCACCCGTGAATGCAGGAACATACAATGCTCGACCGAGGGCCAGCTTGACTCCCCGGCGGTCTTTAGGACAGTCTACATCAGGCATCCTGACACACCACATTGGTGATGGAGTGAGGAGCGTCTCTGTTCCGCCGATTCCGCGAACATCGTGGGATGTTAGGGTGCACGATGTCAGCACCAGGCGACCAGAATCTGTCCAGCAGAGGCAGCGCCCCGTCGCTTTGCCTTTGGCAGCTGTCAAGATTGGGATCCCACCCTCGAACATCATTGGGGCTTCGTTTCATTCTGCCTTGGATGAGAGTGGCTATGTTTTGCCGGAAGGGCCTGCGATCACACCGCTCGATATCTCACCATCAACACGAAAGCTGTATCCGACACGGACTAGGCTCAATGCAGCCACTTCCACATATCCAGTTGAGAATCTGTGCACGGGCCATTTATCCGTGCCAGCCTCTCACCGTCAAATCCAAGAGCCTGTTGCAAGGTCTGTTGTCGAATCTCGCGACAAGGAAGCTCCAGGCACCTCGGCTGTGCTCACCGTGCGGAGTGTGTTGGCCGATGTGTCGCCATCGGCAGAGCAAAGAAGCAGTGCGACTTTGCAATCTGACTCGGGCGCGGGTCCGCTGGAGTCGAGCCCACAGAACAGCGTTTGGAAACGGTACTTTGCAGACGAGCGGCGGGAGCAGTGTTTCAGTCGGCCTTTGAGCAGTAGCAGGATATTGACTGTAGATTCCAGGGCTGGGGCCAGTGAATCTGTTGGCCATGGGGGGAACACGGCTACTGTCAATGGGACAGGATTGAGAGCCATGCCCGCACGACGGCCCAGTGCGGGCGTGCGAAGATACCAGGCAGAGCCAAGTCAAGGTGCTACAAGCTTGCCATTGACAGCTCCAAACTCGGCCAGAGATGACCCCGGTGAAGGACAAAGCCCTTCGCTGGCACTTCCCCTTCAGGACTCGGAAGTGGTACTGCGACCACCACCTCTACGCCAACTTGTTAGCAAGTTTGGACCGCCAGCAGATGATCAGCAAGACATCGTCCCCGATGAATCTGGCGAATCCACGGAGGAGGCTCGCACTTCAGCGTGCCGGGCCAATGTGCTCGAGGAAGCAGAAAGGTCAGAAAGGCTCACATCGAGTATCTTGCCAGAGCAGGGTGAAGTAGTATTGAACTCCGCCCAAGTCGAAGCCATAGCGGTCGCAGCAGCCGCAGTCGAGCACGCGGCTCGTCCTATTTCTCTGAAGAAATTGCACGAGCTGCGATCATTCCGGCAGCCGCCCGCTGCAGTATGTCAGGTAGTCGATGCAGTTTCGACCCTGCTCGGCTGCTACGAGCCCACGTGGTCAGCAGTGAAGCGAAGGTTGGATTCGATGCTGCTGCACCGGCTGATGTCTTTCAGTGCCATGGAAGCAGCAAGATGCCCATCTTCCCGAGTTCGAGGTTTCCTTGAATTCTTGGAGGCGCCCGCATTCTGTGATGGGTCATTGGCTGACAAATGCCCTGCTGTTGCTCCCTTGGCCGAATGGTGCCTAGCCGTTGCACGCCTCCTGCTCCAACTCCGGGCCACAGACTCGGAAGTGCACACCCAGGCTGAAAGCAATGAAGAAGCGGCTCCTCATCCTACGGCACAGACGACCAAAGGGAAGGGGCAGACAGCGCCACCCGACCTGGGGGGCCTTTATGTGAATCCTCCGTTGTGGGAGTTGGATGATGAGGCGCTCTGTTGTGTCGAGGACTTGGTCATTGGGCGTGATGGTGTTGGACACATCACATTTCATGGACAAACAGATTGTCGCAGCTTGCTGACGATTCTGCCGCATATCTTGATGGTAGAGCGCGGTGAGATCGTGGTGTATCCAGATGCCGCATTGAAGCCAGAAGTGGGGCATGGCTTGAACAAGCCAGCCACGGTCGTGCTGTATGGCTGCATGCCCAAGTCGCAATCGTGCTTGACGGATAGCCGTGCACGCCACAGATACAAGCAGCGTGTGGCACAAATGACAGAGGAGAAGGGCGCCATCTTCGAGGATTATGATCCGGATGATGGTACTTGGAAGTTTCGCGTGCTTCACTTTTGATCGTTGAGCATGCAAACGTGGACGAAAAAACGTGCTGCTGTCACATGCAATGCTGGAGGAGTGAGAGGTTCACTGTTTGCAGTGAGTTCTTTCTTGTGTTTTGCCAAGGCTCATGCCGTAGCTTCTTAGTCTTAGTGCCCGATTCTTGGATGTCGGCGAGGCTGCTGCGACAGAGAACGCAACTCATAGCGCAGCATGGAAGAAAAGGAGAATGGCGTCAAGCACTTTTTCGATTTCTTCAAATAGAATCGGAGGCGGGGTATGTGGCCCTTCTGCTTCATGGCCTTCACGTCGTGTAACGCAGCCACAAGACTGACAGGACGGACTTCGTCCTGACGAGGCCGGCCTTCCAAAAGCTGCCCACGAGTCCTGGAGCTGCAGCCGCGAGTCTCGGCATAGGGCAGGTTGCTGCGTTGACTTCACATTCTTAGAGAGTTCACGAATGCATGCAGGTGTGCTGCAGTGCCCTAGTGGCTGCTCTTTCCAAAGGCGAGTGGATCGGCAGGATTTGGGAGCGAAGGGATCCTGCAACGTGGGCTGTCCTGGTAATAAATCCTAGGGTCGTTGTGTCAACGGATTGCAGTCCAAACGGTCGTGGGAGCAGTACAGTTCACACTGCGGCCTGAACGAGCCTTAGCTCAGATAGTATTCAAACCTCTAATCTTGGTCGCCCAAGCTTGTGGTAAACAGCATGTTCGCCAAAGGCTTGGACATTAGCATATCAACATGTGCCAAGCCCAACAAGGCTGATGCTTGTTCTCGTGGTTTCGATCTGTGGGGCAGGCAAGCAGTGGCAGCGCGCAACAGTGCTCGTGGCGAGCTTTCGGCATAAGTCCATGCAGCCATCGCTTGCCGCCGTCACTGTGCAGCACTACACTCTTCGCCAGTCATGCAGGCATGATCCAGTTCTTGTCGCAACGGCCGCACAAACGCACCGCCAAGGTCTCTGCTGCTGCAGGTGCTTGCGGGCAAGTCTCCAGGCACAAAACGGGTGAGCAGTTGTTAGCGGAAGGTCAATGGTGACAGTTCACATTCTTCAGCAGCTCCTCAGAGTATTAAGTGTCCCGCTACTGCTCCACCCTTAGCCCTTTGCCTGCCTAACAAGGCAGGGGCTGCTGGCATTGCTTCCACAAAGGTGAGAGGTTGTAAGTCAAACATCGTCAAAGGTAATGCTTAAGTGTTCCAAAGCGGGTCAGGACATGTTGATCACGCAAAGCAGTTTGGTCCTGTTGCTCATGAGCGCGGGTCGATTTGAAAGCTATTACTTCCTTCGCGAACACCGTTCACTTACATTTACCGTCGGCAATCGTGCTTCTTGTCCGGCAGTTGCATAGGCAACAGGCCTTTGCTGCGTTGAAAAGTTTTCAGGGAGAAATCAGCCCGAATAGTGACGGCAAGCTCAATAAAGCTGCACACGAACCTCCACGGTTCATGGCTGACAGCTAGCACAGAGCGATGATCGAGCGACTGTCAATGGCCCACCGTCGGAAGGAGAACTAGAAGTAGGTAATTCGGTTCACTGCATGCCCGGAACGAAGCTGTGAGATGTTCTAGTTGTGTTGAAAAAGCCCTGCTCTGAGATGGCAGCTGTCGGTGCATCTACTGGAGCCTTGAATGCAATGGGATGGAGCTGCTGATAGTTGTCTTGGTCTGGCGTTTTTGTTGGTTGAATTTGTGCCAAGGCCAGCGCACCCCGTCTCGACTCGAAGGCTTTCTGCATCGCAGTCGACGCTTGCGGACGCGGCAGCGCTTGGCAGAAGGCGCTCCACTTCTTTTCACGAGGGATGCAGAGCGGTCGCCGCGGCCCGGACAGGGCGATTTTGAACGCCGCGGGCGCTGCCTGCACACGTGGGGGTGAATGGCAAAGGGCATTGCACATCTTGTTAGGCCGCACCCACATGGGCGCCCCCGTCCGTGACATTGTTACGTATGGTTCTGCGATCGCAGCGTGCAGCCTGGGACGCGAATGGACACTTTGTCTTCTCCTTCTGCGCGAGATGTCGTCAAGCTGTCTGGTGGCAAGTGCAGCCTGCATCAGCGCAGCAATAGCTGCGTGTGAGACTTCTGGAAAGATTAGCTTTTCTGCATGGCTCAGTGTAGAACTTGTTCAGAAGCTTGTTGAACCAAGCCGAGCACCGAGTCCCAAAACAGTCGGAGTCGTAGTCGTTCCCTTCCATCTCGAGACGCCCTGATGTGAGGAAGGGGTCGCACTGGATTCAAGCACTGTCATTATTGTGTGCTGGCAGCAGCTCATGGAATGGAGCCTCGGTCGGGGCGGCGATGGCTACTCTTTGCAACACTTCGCAGTGGGAGAAGTCTTTGTGTCTTCTGTCTTCGGCAGCCGATGCAGGATTCCTGGACTCGCCGGCCATTTCCTCAACGATCCTTGCATGTGAGCTGGCTCTGGCCTGGCGTGCTGCCTTCCAGCTTCATGATGAGACCTTGAAGGCAGACAGGGCGGGCAAGGCAGGCCAGGTCCTGGACACCACCGCGCTCCTGGCGCCCATGAGGTGCGGCTTGGCCCTGAACTCGGGCTCCCAGGGCTCGGCGGTGCAGTGCGTAACCGGCATGTTGCAAGGAGCGCTGGGAGGGGATGCATTCGCTGAGCAGGAATCGACCTTAACCTTGCTCCTCCAGCTGAACCTTCTTGCAAGAGGGTCCCCTCTTTGTCGGGCATTTCATCGACGAGTCATAGTGGCAGCGCAGCTTGAATTGGCAAGGCACCGTCCAGGTGTTTCTACGTCGGTCATGCTGGCCGCCCTCGCAGACCTCGGGCCGGAGTATTCACGCGAAGTCCTTTCTTGGGATTTAGGTGAGTCGTCAACCCCCAGCTCCTGGCAGCAAGTTGCGGCCCGAGCTGTTTCCTCAAGTTTTCTGGCTGAGTCTTTGGCCTTGGTGTCACCAGCGCGTCCGGTGGCACGTCGATTGCGGTCATGGCTCTCGGCCACCCTGCTCCGTCGTGGTGGCATGGGCATCGAGATTCAGGAAGTCATGCTGTCAGGTTTCTCGGCAGTTGTTGGCCTTTCATTAGCCTCCTTCCCACCACTTGTGCACGAAAGGGCAGCAGAAAGGACACGAGGCGGGACGATTGGCAAGCTACGCGACAGTTGGAAGATTTGGAAGGAGACCACACAAGCGCAGCAGGAACGCAGAGGCAGACATGCATCGGATTTTGAATTGTATTGCATTGTGCAGCAAAGGTAGCGACCTCAAGCTTCGGACTTCCTGCAGTGAGCCGTCAAGTTGATCCTGGTCCTTTGAAGGGCTTATTGACTCCATGTAGTCGCTTGCATCGGACAATCAAAAAGGGTTCAGGGCCGGCCATGCTCCTGCATGCCTCTCATTATTTCCTGTTGTAAGCCAACAATTTAATTTGCAAGTGCGGCGCAGTGCTCAGACACTTCACGCACGAAGTTGATCTTCCACCTCCTTCAATACGGAACGACGGAAGGGCTTCAAATGGGTTAGCTACAGAGCGTGGGTCTTCGTGGCATCCGAAGTTAGCAGAGCATGGCAGCTGGCCTTCATCTGCCACAGTTAAGCTACATGGTTCCTGGACATGGCACTGAGGGCCATGATCCACCGGTAAGGTGGCTTTGCTGCAGGTGGAGCACAGAACTTGCTGGTAGAGGCGTAGTCGAAGAGAACGCATGCTGCGAATCCCAGGCAAGCTGCCCGCGGCCGTGCCCACCGGACCGACAGAGCATAGTCATAGTCTCTAGCGGTTGGCGGTTGACGAAGAAAAGAGCGCTCTGAAGGACTTCGAGCAGTGAGAGCTCTGGCCCAGCCCAAGCCGACGGGAGCAGGAGCTTTGCACACACCGTCGATGCTGAGCAGCTGTGAGCCCACAGGTTGGCCACCGGTGACAGTTCTGAAGCCCAGCTGCAAGCAGCATCTGGTTTGAGGCGGCGCTGTGGAGCATTGGTTCCTGTTCAACTCGTGGTGTGGAGACAGCAAAGACCGACCCGTGATCATGAGTTGTCCTACGGTCCTAGAGTGTGGTTCTGAAGAAGAAGAGAACGGTGAGTAACGGTGCCGTTCCCTGGCGGGCTGCTGCAAGTTGGTGCTCCGTAAACTTTCGAGTCAGCCTTGCCTTGCGTCAGGCAGGCAGCACGCGGGCGAGCTCACCGGACCGACTTTGGCCAGTTTTTCGTTTGCCCGAAAGCAGACTGTCGCAAGGTTGTACTTTCTGTCTGGAAGGACATCGGACTGCGATGGAGAGTCTGGTCCGGCAGCTGCCGACAGGTGAGACTTTCTTTCTGTGTCGTGGCATGTGGAAGCTGGAATCTTACAGAGGTCGACGGTCGTTGAACGGAGCGAAGCCGAAACTCCGGCGAGAGTGAGGCAGCTTGTCACTGAGAAAACATGCTCGCCTGAATCGATGAGCTTCAGGCAGGCGGCACGCGGTGGAGCCCACCGGACTGGAGGGCCGGGGGGAATGGCGCTGCTCTTGTGGCTTCGGAAGCCGGACAGGACCTCCGGGGACGAGAGCTTTGGCCCCGCGGATGGCGGCAGGTGGGTCGGGTCTTGTGAGGCAGTTCGGGTCCTCGTTCTTTTTGCACGTTGCAGGCCATCAATTGCTGAGCACAATGAGCCTGAGCCAGCAGGTGTGAGGTGGCGTGGCACATTCAACGGTCGTGCCGTGGTAGCTGTAAATGTCCCTCTTCTCCTCAGGATGTTCATGCGCGGAACCTTGCGGACCGGTGCTTTATGCGTGTCAGCGCCAATCTTGTTAGTCCGGTCATCCACACCCGGACAGCTGGACAAAGACATGCGTTTCTACTGTGCGTCATGGAAGGACATCGAGCAGTGACGGAATCACTGGATTGGCCGAGTGTGTCAGGCACGGTCTGGACTCTGCAGACTGCTTGTCTATAGGAATTTCATAGGTCCGCCATAGGTGTGAGCCTGAGTCTGTGTATGATTGTGCGTGCGCGTGGAGCACGCCGCAGGCAGCGCCACAGTGTGGAGCTGCGCCGGCGGAGGTCCGGAAGTGGCAGTGAGGACGACAAGCTGTGGGGTGAAAACTTTACGCCGAAGCAGGGCAGAACTGTGCCGGTATACTCTCAGGAGCTCCTAGACCTGGATCCGGTTCACAGCCTAGAACTGGAAACGTTGGCCCGACGCCTCCTCACTTCAATTCCGAGCCGTGAGGACTCCGTGCACCAGGCTGAAGCTGTGCCTTTGCTAGTACTACCCTTTCGCCATGTCTGAGGAGAGCCACTGTCGGACTGGTCCCTGTGGTTTGAAGAGCACTGAAGTGCGACGGCGCCTCGCCAAGGACGCCTAGTCATAGTCCCGGTGAAAGCATGTTTCGTCTGATTCGCACCCGCAGCACGCGCATCTCCAGGACGGCCCTAACGAGCTCACACCACCAGACGTCGAAGCGCCCTTGGAGAAGTTCCTAAGGATCCGGTGCCCTTTTCTGTGTTGCCCGTTATTTCTTGCGATGCTCAGGAAACTGTCACAGCATGGCATGTGCCTGCAAGTGGTGTCTTTTCCACAGGACTGCCTTCGCGGGTCTGCTGAACCTCCTGCTGTGGGCCTGCGTGTTTGCAGAGGCTGCAGAGAAGCGCACTGCGCTCTGACTGCGCCGGTCCTTTTCGCACGCCTTTCCACTCTCTGCGCCGGTCAGGTGTGTCTACTTTTCGTCTACCCGGGCGAGAGGGACGCTGTAACACCGGCCATACTGTCACTGGTCATCCTTTGCACTGCTGCGCTGCAGTGCTACACGGAACTGAAAGCCGAATCTTCCATGGAAGCCCTCCGCAATATGCAGGCCGCCGAACTCGTAAGAACGACTCGTATTTCAGACGATGGGCAGCGATTGGACCAAGAGGTGCCACCTACTGAGTTGGTGACCGGTGACATCATCTTCTTGGAGCCTGGTCAGCGGGTCCCTGCGGATGTGCGCATCATCCATTGCAGCACTGGCACGGAGGTCGACAATGCGGCACTGACAGGTGAGACGATACCTGAACCCCGCACTGCCAACGCGGAGCTGCCTGCAGTGCCGGCCACAGAGGCCAAGGGGCATCTGAACTCGAGAGCATGTTGGGACAGGGACGGAAGGTGCCCCCTGACGAAGGCTCGCTGCCTGGCCTTCTTTGGCACCTCGGTGCTGAAAGGAACTGCAACCTGCGTCGTCTGTGCCACCGGTGATGGCACCTTCTTAGGCAGGGGAGATGTTCCTCAGGTGGTTACAACATGCGTGCAGTGAAGCTTGTGCCACAAGTATTTCTGCGTGGATGTCCTGGTGCCGTATGACTGGTGACAGATAGGAGTGTAATTCCAGTGCGCATTGCGTGTCATGCTGGGCCCTGCATGTGCTGCATGTACCGGGCTCGCCAACTGAACTGTTGACAAAGTGTGAGTTGGTTGACGGGTTGTCTGAAGTTTTAACATTGGCGGTGCAGAGCTTGCCGCCCGGTGCTGATGTTTCCTGTCAGGCCAAATCGCGAACACCATGAAGAAGGGCTCGCCCCGTTCTTCGCTGGAAGTGCAGATGGAAAGTTTCGTGCTGCGACCGGCAATAATATAAAAGCAAGGATCTTGCAAACGCATGCTTCTTGTACTTGAAAGTGTTACTAATCGCGATGGGCCAGTGATGCTTTCGTGACGGCATCATGGACCGGAACCGCTAGGGCTAGGGCCGAGCACAGCAAGATTTTCCTGAGTTGAAAAGTGGCTAACCCGCCCCAATGCTGATACTGAGCTGGAAGGCCTGTTTCCTGTAGTTTGCGATGAGGCCAAGGCTCTCACGATCCTGCACTCCCAATCTTCGATCTCCGAACGTGTTTGAGCGAAAGCCTTGAATACCCGAGCCTGCTGTAACTGTGCACCTGTTGTGCTTCACAGGTGCACACCATAGCAAAAGTTGCGGGTGGAGTCGCTGCATGCGTTCTCCTGGCCAATCTGCCACTTGGCGAGCTTTCCGAAGTTCTTCGTTCGTCTTCTTCAAGAAGAGATAAAGGCTAATGAATGACTGGTCGCTTGATGATGGCCGGCTCACTGTGCGCAGCCATGTCCTCGCACGTTGGAGATGCTTTCCTTCCCTGTAAGGGTGCCCGCTTTAAGCATAGAGGCCATCAAGGCCAGAGCCAGCCCGCGATGGGTTCCCACGGCCAGCTCTTTGGCAGCCTTTGCGGGCACTTTGAACGTGTTGGCCGTGGGGAAGAAGGTGCTTCACCGAAATTGTTTGCGGTCGCTCCTTGTTCGACCCTGCGTGGCCAAGCTGCCGAAGCAATCCGAGCCACTGGCCTTGTCCGAGTGTGAGCCTGAAAGATCCGAGCCACTGGTGCATCCTGTCGTCGTTGCAGAGATGGTGCCTCACCTTACGAGCAGCGGCCGCTTCGAGTTGGCACTCATTCCGGACCCGGACTTTCCGGACTCTGAGCTTTCCGTCGTGGTCCGATCTGGGGAGTTCCACAAAGGAGACTGTGCTTTCTTGGTGGTGGTCGGAGCTCGGCTTCCAGAGAACCTTGGAAAGGCCTCCGGCTGGCACGGGCTGCTGGCCGAGAGCGGCTTCGTAGTGAAGCCAACTCACTTCGGAAGACAGTATTTGTCAAACGGGCTGCTTTTGCCAAGGTCTCTGGTCGAGGATTTTGCTCCGGAAGATGCATTACTTGACCCTCAAGCTTTGACAAGAGCACTGAAAGTCGAAGGGCCTCCAACTCCATTTCGTGCTCAGAGTTTCCTGCTGGAAGTTGCTGGGTTGAGCTTTTCGGATATGTTTCGATTTCCCATCGAACATTTGTTGTGGGAGGCTCTGCGCCTTTAGTATGTATGGTTGCCGAACACAGCACAACGCAGGTTGGGTTCGATGGGTCAGGCTTCTATGGCTCGCAGAGCACAGGTGCTGAAGAGTCGCGCCCGACTGTGCTCGGTCAGATCATGCAGAGCGCCGAGAAGCTTGGCTGGGTTTGCGAGCAGCCGGGTTCGCGAACAAGTCGCCGCCAGTGGGCCTGCCTGAGCCGTGTGGATGCCGGTGCCAGCGCTCGCAGCTTCCTCCTGACAACACCACCTCTGCTCAAGCCGCTGACGAACGAGTACAGCCCCAAGCTGTGTGACAGTTGCAAGTAGGTTTCTATAGTGTTGGTGTGAGCCGCCTGGAAAATCACGAATTGATATCGATCGTCATGTTGCTCCTGCCAACATGAGCCAAAAACAGTAGCAAGCGAGCTTTCCTCCCCTGAGCCCTGAGAGCGGCGGTGTGCTGAGGTTGCCAGGTCCAATTGAAGCAGCTCGTGCGCTGTCCTCGGAGCTCCCGACAAGCATTCGCATTCATCGAGCGCTGCTTACACCTCGGGGGGTGCAGCTGCGCCACACCCACAATGTGACCAGAGAATACGGGTATTTCTTTCCACTCCAATGGATACAGGGGGACATTGAAGGCCTTCGCGAGATACTCCAGCAGTTTACTGGGGAGCACTGCTTTGCCAACTTCACGGAGTTGAAGAAGTTGGAAGGGCTGAAGAAGAGAATTCAGCGAAGCCTGCAGCTCCAAGCATGGGCTCATAGCCTCCAAAGCTGGAAGCGGTCGAGGCGGGATGCCAACTACAGCGCTGAAGCTGGAGCAATTTCATCTTTGCAGGTGCACGGAGCCATGAGAGCTGCGTGTGAGCGAACCGTTCTCATGGCAGACGTAAAGAAGATCCCCGGAACTCGTTTGGCCTGCATCACCGTACAAGGTGATGGATTCCTATACAACATGGTGCGATACATTGCCGGCTCTGCTTTGGCCGTTCACTCCGGCAAGCTTGCTGCCGCCACGCTGCAAGCTGCTCTAGCATCATTTCTGGCAGTGGATCTTTCGGAACATCTGGCACCAGCAACGGGCCTTGTACTCCTGCGCCAGTACACAGGGGAGGCGTGGATATCACCGAGATCGCAGGAGGCCGAAGCATCTGCCGAAGATTTCATGAAGCAGCAGTTGCTGCCGAGGATTGAGGGGGCTTGGATGTCCCCAGGTGACGCAAGGCGAGCGGAGAAACCGGACCGTGCTACTGTGAGTAAGCCGTATGCTCTGCGAAATTAAATCAACCAGTCGACCCCACTGTCCTCACATGCGTGGTCAACCTCATGCACGGTCGACCTCAGTCGTCGTGGAGACGTCCGACTGTCGCATAGCATTTGGGGTCCGCCACTTCACGATCGTAAGGAAACAGCTTGAAACGTCTCATGACCATTTCCAGCCAGAGCCATGCTGATCTGGGGAGACGTAGCGGTTGAGGAGCACTAGTTTCAAACTGCACCTATCGTTTTGCTCTCCGGGATTGTTTGTGGACCTCGTGAGCCTTTCAGCTTCAGGTTTGAAGTCTTTGGCTTGCAATTATGACAGCTCAGGCTGGCACCGAAGGTGCGAAGCGCTGGCGAGCCTTGGCACCCACGGAATGCCCACCTGCGTTGCTGGAGTCTTCCACCAGCAGCCTCCCAAGGAAATTCTGGAGAACTGCGCCACTGCATTATTCACGCAGGCCGATGCATTTGAGAAGCATTTGAGGTAGTCATATGCTTGCATGTCAACATGCACAGCGCAGGTGCCTGAAGGGCTTCTGCCAACCGTCACCTTTTCATTGATGCAGCTCAGACGGCAAACATACAATGGAATAGCCAATCGGCTTTTGTTTGGCTTTCGGCTCAGGATAGCATCGTCCAGGATGTCCAGGCATGCTCGGCTGGTAAGGCTGTCGGGTGCCGCGGAAATCCACGGCAGGCAGCAAGTCGTCGTCAAGAAGCTTGATGCGATCGAGTCTCTCGGATGCCTCTTGGCTTTATTGCTTAGTTGAATGCAGGGACTTCTTCCTTCAAAGTATCTATGAGCACGGGGTTGGAGGGCCAGACATAGCTGCAGAGCCCGCCTTCAAAATGATACTATCTGTTTTGTAGAAGTGACGGTGCGCTGCTCGATCGTCCATCACGGTTCCACCGTTGATTTGTTACATGCTACATCTGCAGGTGCGTCCGTCTTCTGCTCCGACAAAACTGGAACGCTGACGACTGGCGAGATGACGGCACGAGCCTTTGCAGAAGTGTACCGTGTCTGTCGGGAGAAGTCACAGCTGTCTGCCCACGGGTTGGAAGTCCTTCGATACCGGGCTGAGGTGCAACACGTTCTGGTACCCGCCGTAGGCGGAGCATCCAGGCATGATTGAGAAGCTTGTAGCTCATGTCCTGGACATCAGCACTATCCGAGGCTACACTTTTCAGCATGCCGCAGCTGCAGGTGCGAGGAGTGTTTTTCTCGCCCACCCAGTGCTCATCGATGCTTGTTGTCTCCTCATCTCTTGGCACTGTTGTCTTTGCTTGTGCAGGCTGAGGTTGTTCGCGGCGACGTGCGCTTGCAGCAGCTTGCAGCCGCTGCACTTACGAACAACAGTGTTCAGGCCCTTCTTTGAGCTCTAGTGCTGCCGGTAGCTTGGGGAACTCCTTGCAGGCTTCGTCTGGGACAGGCAGTGCCCAGGCAGGATGCAACAACGTTGCAACATCTGAAATCTGAGATGCTGTCACTCTCGTTGCTTGCAGAGGTGGTGGGCTCCCCCACCGAAGTCGCCATTTGTAGAGCAGCTGCAACCATGCCCCTGGGACTTGATTTTGATGCTGCGGTGTAGTGTGGCAGAGCCACGGAGCAGCGTTGCCACCGAGCCCGTGCGGCAGCATGCAAAGGGCAAAGGCTGTTGCACAGTAAGCTTCCCGAATTGTGTACGCATGCAGCAGTTGTTGTGAAGCACGTTGGTTGCGAGAAGAGCCAAAGTCGTCGCAGGTAGAAGCCGAAGAAGTAGAAGTCGACGTTGTATTTGAAGTAGCAAGAGGAGCAGAAACAAGGACAACACATGTACCAGTAGCAACCATCGTAAGGATTAGAGTAGTGCAGCAACGAAAACTTGGATGAAGCCCAGGCTCGGAAAGCCGCCGAGAGAGGCAGTGACTTTTCCTTCGCGAAAGGCCCGTACCTGCGGTGGTTTTGGGCTTTCCCCAAGCCAGCAGTGGACCATGCGACCTATGGTGGGAATTGTGATTGATTTTTTGCTCTTAGCTGACGCTGTCGTGTTCTGGAAATCATGGTGCGCAGTCCTGGGGAAAGGCACGGAGGATGTAAGGACACAACATTCGACAGGATGTGGTTTTCGAGATTCCGTTCAACTCGGAAAACAAGTGGATGCTTACGGTTTGGGCCCAAGTGCAGTGATTCCACTGATGATACTCGTTGTTGGCCAGCTTCCAGCAATCGAAGGTGCACAAACTTGGGTCAGAGGACCCTGCCTTCTCCCACGGCCTCGTATAGTCAAAGTTGTTTGGGTTGTTCCAAGGCTCCTTGATAATGCCTGCTTGTTGCTTGCGAAGAGATGTTGATTTGTTCATGGACCACTTTCAGGACCCTTGTTACGAAGTGATCGTGAAGGGTGCGCCCGAGAGAGTGCTTGAGTTGTGCACGGCCAACGAGCAAATTTTCAGCAACCTGCGCAGCTGGGATGCAACTTTCAGGTTTCATCAGTCGAAGTAGGGTTGTATTCTGTTGTGGCTGTTTTGTATCATGTGTGCCGAGGCAGCCTCATGGACAGGCGTGGGGTGTTTTCTTCTTGTGAGTTTCTCTTCTGCTGTGTGAGTCGACTCGCCAGGGGACTGCGTGTACTTGCCCTGGCTGGACGGAGGCTCAGTGCCCAGGACATTCCACACAGAGGAGAGTTCCAAGGTGGGGTTACATGTAGAAGCTCTGTTTTTCACCTTGTGAAGCTTGCCACTGAGTGCAGGTGGTTGCCTGGCAAGCTGCAACTTCCCCTTGCAAGACTGTAGCTTTCTCGGCTTCTTCGCGATGGAGGCTCGTTGAAGCTCCTGTGCCATTGCGCGCTGGACAGAGATCTGTGAGTTTTCGAGGATCCTCCGCGTCCTGGCGTCCGTGAAGCTGTTGAAAAGGCTCACTCCGCAGGTGTCAAGGCTCGGAAGCAGCTCTGAGAGTCTCAGTGGTTCTGTTCTACTTGTAGAAGCCGCGCTTCGTCGACCGCAGGTAGTGATGGTCACAGGGGATCATGGGGACACCGCCAAAGCCATCGCCAAGAGATTGAACATCCTCTCTAGCACAACGAAGCTATGCCGGAAGAGCGAGCGCTTTCAGGCTCGCTTGGATTGTCAGTGCCCGTTCTGCAAGACTTCACGGAACATGATGTCGTGCAAGGTAGTGCTTGGATCTGAGCCTGGGCGGGTTGTACTTCTGTCAAACTTAGAAGAGACACATTCCTTGTTGTTTACGGTGTTTGACTTGCGTTATGTTGTGCTCAGGAATTGGACGAATTCCTGCCGCTCGACGATGGGTTCGCCCGTCTTGAGTCAGACAGCAAGGCCGAGGGGCAGCATGGCACCTGCTTTGTCGATGTGGGTTCCTGAATGCTCGCCTCCTGCAGAGGAGTTCTGGCGCGAAGCGGTTGTTCACACGAGGTGCGGATCTAATCTTGCACAGGGTCAGAAGACCAATTGGGAGTTGCACGAGCAACATGTGCAGGGTGTTTGCCCGTGTTTCGCCTTTGCACAAGCGGATCATCGTCCAGGCTTTCGGGGGATTTGCCTTTGCGGTTGTTGCTGCGTTGCATGGCATCTCCTCACAATCTGGTATCGAGGCCTACCAAACCTTTGGCCAACAGGGCTTTGGTGATGTCGTCGCAATGACTGGAGACGGCGTCAATGATGCGCCAGCTTTGAAGCAAGCCGAGGCTCAAGCTTGTTCGGTTCGGCCGTTCGGCCTCTCCGTGGCAGCTGTGTCATTCCGTTGGCTTTTTGTACGGTCAGGTGGGGATTGCCATGGGGATCCGGGGGACGTCTGTGGCGCAGGCGATCCCAAAACCTTCGTGCATTCCGAAACGCAAACTACGCAATTCACGCTTGTTGATGAGTTCGCCATCTTTGGTCTCAGAGGATGCTGCGGACATCATTCTGCTCGATGACAACTTCTCTTCTGCAAAGAGCTCGGTCCACATGCAACCTTCGGCCCCGCATCGTACATGGCAGCTGCTGAGGCGATCTCAGGCATGGAGCAGGGTAGACTTGCGAGTGCCTTGGCTGAGCTTGGTCGAACTCTGGAAAACGTCACGACACGGTAACTTCCTGCAAGGTGAGAACTTGCAGAAGTCGATCATGTACACGCTGTGTTCCAAAGTGACTCATGGCAAGCATTTTCTCATTCTCTTTCATCAGCATAATGATGTCATATGTAGCAGTGGTGCAGCCTCCGGTTGACTTCTGGAGGCCACAAGCGTTGCCTGCTTTCTTCGAAGTCTTCGGACTGCCGGAAGCACTTGCCGCAGTGCAGGCCATCAGACATGGCTCTTAACTTGGGGACACGGGCTGTGTGGCAGGTCCTGCTCATCGACATCGGCACGGACATTTGGACTGCCGCCCCTTGACTTCGCGCAAAGCCGGTGAACTGATTGGCTAGAATCATGACCTGAGTATTGGCACTTGGGGCGGATGAGGAGACTCATGCGGCCTTTCCGAGTGACAGGAGGTACTTACATCATTTCCACAGCCTGAGCGAGAGGCTTCAAAAGACTGCTTGCCCTCGGCGCACCGATGACTTTCTTTCATTCTTTTCGTGCCGACCCAACGACCCTTCCTCCCAAAGCAGACCTCGCCTTGAGCATCGTTCTCAGAAGTGAAAGGAAAAAATGGATGCGAAGCTCGAAGAAAACTGAACCGGGTGTTTTGATGGCGGCTGGTTATACAGCAATTATCGGTTTGGGAGGTGGGGCGGTTTCGTGGCCGATCAGGTGTCCAGTTGGAGCTGCAGCGGCTGTGCGGGACGAAATTGCTGTTTCAACAGGGGCAAAACAAATCATCCAGAGCCTCACGCTTCAATGGCCGAAGCCACACTTGCTGCAGGGCGCTTCTGAGTGTGCAACGGCTACGGCATCAGGTTGCCATCTCATATGGTCACGTGTCCTGCCGAGGTCGCCTTTGCAGCTCAAGGTCCAGAAACTTCGCTGATGAACAGATCGCCACGACATCCACGACTGGAGCCTTCATCGTGATTTGAGATCTGTTTTTTCGTCAACTTGCTGCTTGTTTGTCCACTCTGCACTGGCTTTAATGTGACAGAGCATTTTGACAGGAGCGCATGATAAGCTCAAAGATCCTGTTGTACAGCTACGGCTATATCGGGGTGCTGCAGGCTGTATTCTGCCTCCCGACGGCACGGCACATGTGCTTGTTTAAACTGCTAGCTGTTGGCAAGACCGTGGGGCAGTTGAACATGTGAGGCTGGATGATGTACTTCCTGGCCACCCCAGGAATCGGCAACCTCGTACGGGCGCATGATGACCTGAAAGACTACACACGGGAGGCAAGGTTGGCATCTAAAGATCGGCACATCTTTCAACATCCACACTCAGGAGACAATCTTGGAGAAGCGCGGTATGCGACATGACTTGCATTTGGCAGTTTTTATTAGTGCCGCCGGCCGTCGGTTTTTTTGGTCGTGCCTTCCATATAGTCTCGCGACGGGCTTTGGGACGCTTGTGGCTCAGGACCGTCTACTACTGGACGCTGGTGCTTGGGCAGGTGGCGGCTGCGCTAGCCTCTACGACCAAGCGGCAGCCACTTTTCGGTTCAGGCGATTCGTGTTCGATTCATCTCCCGGCATACAGTATCGCAAGCTTGCAGTGCTTGGTTTCGCCCTTGAGCCATGCGGGTTACGATGCGGTGTTTTCGGCTCTAGCACATTGATGTTCAGGCGGCTATGGGTTTCCGAACCAAATCCTCAACATCACTCTCTGCTGCGAAGTGGTGCTGAGCCTCATGGAGCCTGGGCATGCAACTGTCGTGTTGGCGGTACAGCTTCAGGTACAGTCACTTGTGAGCTCGGAAGTAGGGTTCCTTGTGGGCGTGGGACAATGCTATCCGGCATGAGTACATGCCATATATTACTGTTTTCAACCTACTTCGGGCCGAAAGGCGGATGCAAGCGGTTCGAGCTGGTAAAGTAAAAACATACCTTGTCTGGTGGTGTTTCAGCTGGGGGAGTCCGGGAAACTGGAAAGAGACCTGTTGCATGCCTTTGCATAGTCAAGAGGAAGCGCAGCATCTCGACTTGAGGTGATGCACAGCTCCATGCTGAGGCCAGCTTTCGAGAGACTTGACTGCAGCATGAGAGTAAGCAGTCGGGCATGAGCTGGCAGCAGCCGATGTAACAGCTTGCAGACGGCTTGTGTGTGCGTTCATAGAATTCCGCAACCATGTCAAGCGACGTGGCCTGAGGATGGAGCGTCTCGATTTCTGGCCCGACGCTCAGCATGATGTTGCTCCGTTGTCCGCAATGGGAGCAGCCAGTGGATGCAGGGTTCGCGGATACGGGGTCAAACAAGGGTGAGTTGGAACTTGCTGCATGATATTGCTGATGGCACACGGCACTGCATCTGCCAGAGCGACATCGAATGAGACAGGTCCATGTGAGCAAGTGGAAATTACCCAGAACTGTGTGTTTTCTATGTAGGCCTTCGCTGGTGTTGCCCGTCGTCGCGCTGGCTGGCATCCTCGCCGTGGAGGAGTTGGGACCTTGGAAGAGCGATGTTACTCTTGCTTTTGCTGTCCTCGGCTGCTAGTCTTACTGCTGCGGCTGGGGCATGTTGTCGCTGCCCGTCAACTTCCTGCTGTAAGTACGCTGCAAGTCATGCTCTGATCATGGACTAACACACGGCGTATCGCCCGGATCCATGGCTGTGGAATGCTAGCTCAGAGGAGAGCGTCAAGGATCATTTACGTGTTTGTCATTTGCTGATGAGCTGATGATGTATTTTTCATAAGTATCTCTGTGCAGTACTTTCTCGAAGCTTCTGCTGTTGGCGCAGACTCCCAGCACAGATGATGCAAACTCCTGACTCGGTCGCTCAGGGGCCGCAAGCGCTTCGGCCTGGGCTTTTCCTTCTTGCAGTTCTAGATGACCTGCAAATCTCAGCATGCGCTCTACATGGACTTGCTCGATGCCCACCTGTCGGCGGACAAGCTGAGCGAGATGAGGCGCTCGTGAACCAAGTGGCTGAGCCCGAGAGAGCAGAGCAAGCAGACCTCCGTGACCCAGAGATCGGCATGTGCATACGCGACATCGATTTGCCAGCAAAAAACATTGCGCGAGCCCTTGCATCCGGTTCTGGAAAATTGCGAGTGTTACCATTGTTGATGTGATTCCTACGACTGAATGAGATCGCTCACTGTGGCTCAGTAGTTTTACCAAGGCGTTTTGGCAGGGGTTTGAGCCGCGGCTGACGTGCAAGGGCTGTCGTCGCCTCGATATTGAAGGAAGTTAGTTCTACAGAGCAGAAAGAGGAGGCTAAGTTGCACTTTGTGCTGCAAACGCCCCGAGTTCAGGTCTATGGCCGCCCGCTGGCGCACGTGTTGGCTGCTGCTGCTCCTGCATGTATGCCCCAGGAGCGTGCTAGCTTACCCCTGCGAGGTTGGTGCCGTGCTGCAGCAATAGTTGGCAGCCTCGCAACACATCGTGTGTCAGGCAGAAGTCGCATCAGCTTGCCCTGACAGCAATGACCTTAAATGTACGAGTTGAGTGTGGGTCCTTGCTTGCGAGTCGTGAGAGTCGAAATAGAGTCTTCATGAGCTTGACAAGCAGAATGCGTGAGTGCAACGATGTCTGAACCTATCCTGCCTGGAATTCGTCTGCTTAGGTCCGAAATCAGAGCTGGTAACATGTCTGAAGGACGCTTCGCGATAAGAGCAGCTTTGCTGGATGCTTGACCGCCCGCACAGCAGATCTGCGAGGATGCAAGCCAGCACGAGACACCGACGGAGATCTCGTCCGAATGCCGGTGTCTTATGGGCTTTCTTGGCATTCCCACCAAAGCAACAGCACGAAGTTCGCCCCGTTCCGAGTGCAGCGAAGCAGTGGGCTCCATGCGTAAATCCAAACACTTGTTTTGTAAGTGTCGCCTACCATGGTCTCAGTGGAGCCTGCAGAACAGTACTGTGGCTTGTGCAGGTCTTGGTCCCACTCCAACTCATAAGATAAAAATTCGGAGAGGCTTCCCCGCGTTCTTTGGTCCATTTCACATCCTCCGCCCGGCAACGATGCCGATACTGAAATGCATTGCCTGTGCAAGTACTGCAGGCACTGATTTTATGGCACTCAACTCAGCCTGCTCAGACGAGATAGAGCAGCTTTGTGACGAGGATCGGTCCGACTAAGTTGCCACATGCAGAACGTCAGAGTCTTCTGTACTTGGACCGGAGTCGTCAGAGTCTCCTCGGTTATCGTGTGATGCCAGGAGTTCTTTGCCGAAGAGACCATGCCCTGCTTGATGAGATACCGTGCTTCCGACGAGGCACGGGAGGTTTTTGGAACGACCCAGAACGAGCCGCCAGGCCTAAGGGCTCAATATTTATGGTGGCCAGGAGATTTCGGAGAAATGCCAGTCGGCCAACGGGCTTAGTTGGCTGGATGATGCAAGAGTACAAAAACGCGGATAGCACAAGTAGAGCTCCAGGTGATGCGTTGGGCGCTCCCTGCAGACGAGGACGGCGGGCCACCGCTTTCGCCGTGGCTTTGTTCTTCCAAGACGTAGATGACTTGGATGTTTTACCAGGAGGAGGCCGAGGCTGTGACCGACGAGTTGGGTATGTCAGAGAAGGCCGAGAGAGCCGAGCCGAACGCCTTCGGACTTTGACTTTGCGGGGCTCTGATGCCCAGGACCGACAGGAAAAGGAGGAGTGGCGGGAGAAACGGAAGAAGGAACGCGAAGCAGCCATAGAACGTATGAAGATGAAGGCCTCGGTTCCGGATCCTGAGATAATCATATGCCAAACTGCGAAGCACGATCTGTTAACCAGGAGGTTGATGCAAAGAAGGAGCGCCTTGTGATTGCATTCTTGATTCTTGACTTTTGACCTTCCCAGCTGGTCGACCTGTGTCTCTGCTTCGCAAGACCCACCAGGAAGCAGAGAGAAGAGAGCTGGAAAAGTTCAAGGAAGAGAACCCTGAGGCCTCCCGGCCCTGCAGCGCAGTCGGACCAGCATCGACAAGCATCGTAACGGTGCGGAAGGCATTTGCGGACATGTGCACTCCTAAGCCGCGCTTTGCTCGTTTGCAGAGGTTCATATCCGGTTTTATGGATTTGTTGTGCAACAGTCCACAAAAACTACCAAGGAAGAAGCAGCAGGCAGAGGAACAGAGACAACAGGCCGAGCAGAAGAAAAGGGAAAGACTGATGAAGGCGCTGCCGCATGCTGTCATCTTTGTGCCAGTCTATCCAGAAGTTCAAGCACCTACTGAACGGAGGCTGCGTGGGAGCGGAAGAAGCGGATTGAGGCTGTCGCTTTGGGCCCCGAGATACGCAGAGGTCCGGCATGCTTGTCACCTGCAGGCTGGTGAGGACCCAGATGCAGAATCAGGCCTTGGCAGACAGTGAAAGTGCCAGCGAGATCGCAAGCGAGCGCCCGCCTTGGCTCGCAGGGCCCTCCCCTCCGAGCAAGCGCCCAAGCAGAAAACCAAAGGCCCGGTGATGCCCAAGCGTGTCAAGCATGGGACCTGTGCGACTCTTTGAGACTCGCACGATCCCAAGCGAAGGCTTCGAGCTCCTGGTACAGCACCATCGCCGCCTTGATCGTTTTGGTCGTCATTGTCGGAATAGGTTATGTCGTAGTCACAGGCCGGCCGGGTGCGGGAATCTCTCTGGGAATCTTACCGTCGGCTCTTTTTCAGAGGCACAGGCAAGGCCGCTGGAGCTAGCGGGGGCCGTGGCGGAAAGGGAAAGAAGAAGAGCTTTGGCTGCAGATCGGCACACAGGTGAGGCAGAAACATTGCAAATACGTCACCGAGGAGATGACCGCAGCGAGGTTCTTCAGGGGCATCCTGCTTCACGCGGGCTCCATGGCACTGGAATTAGACTTGGTGTAATCTTGCCTCAGCCTGTAGCTTGCGACGTGAGGCCTGCAGCTTGGTCTGATGATACCAACTGCATCTACGGCCTGGGATATACCATGGCTGCCTGGAGCTACCCGAGAACGCAAGGAGCCAAAGACCGGAGTAGCAGGTGGAGTCCCTGCTAGTGTGGGTGCTCATGCTTAGCCCTGTACAGAACTGATTGCCATCGCTGATCCAAAGAGAAGGCGCACCAGGATAGTAGAAGGGCGTTGTGCAGGCTGCACTTGAGCAAAAGATCTTGTCTGCTTTGGAGAAACCCAACAGCGAGCACTCGAGTGTACTGTAAGTTGAAGTACTACCAGCATTTGGAGACTCGGACCATCGCTTTCGACTTCCCTGCCGAGCTTTTTGCTCAACCAGGTCCAAGCTGCAACGGCCCATGACCATCACATGTTCAGCAGTCTGGACCGTGGCCATGAAGCCATCATGCGTGCGGGAGCATAGTGTCTCGATTGGGCAAAACATGCGAACTCAGCGTGGTGGTCTCGGACTATACGCATTGGAAGAAGAGACGGCAAAGCATAACAGCTTTGACTACAGAATCGAAACACGGGACGAGCAAACCCAGAATAGACACTGTGCATTCTCCCGGAGTGTGTGAGACACCTGGACACATGGTGGCCTACCCAGCACAAAGGATATGAGTTTTCCGGGATCGTGATACCACATCCAGTTTCTGTGAGTGGTGGCAGGGTAGGGAGAGTTGGCGGGCTCAGCATCTCGTTCTCCGGCCAGGCGCTGGGTGTCGCAAAGGCGAACTGCCAGGCCACGCCACCCTGCAGTGAGTCTCAGGATTTGCATACGGGCCCGCTTGCAACCTTCGCCTAACTCTCGGCTGAGCAGAGACAGCGAAGGCAGAAGCCAGTAAGTGGATTCGCACAATCTACCCGCCACGACGTGTCAAGTGCCCAACATGACCAAACAGTGCGACACCGCGAGACACAAACTTAGCAAAGGCCCTCCGCTCCGAAGAAAGGCTTACGCCGACTTGCGAGGCCAACAGCGATATTACCCAAATGCTGATTGGTGGCTACAGCGAATCTGCAGCTGCAGTCTGCTCAGACAATGCACTTCGTACCTGGGGATGACCGAAGCGGTGCTAACAGCTGCTGAGTGCTCAGGTTCCAAGTGCAGCGCCTGCCGCTGCCCGAGTTCCAGCACTGCCTTCCAGTGCGTGGCCTGGCCATTACAAGCCAATCAGGACAGGCCAGCTGTTAACTGCCAACCTGCTCAATCCATACAGTTTTCCTCTGGGGCCAGGAGAGTCAAGTTCACAAGTGTGGACGAGGCTTGGCCCTCGTCCCTTGTGGCGGGTTGATGGGTCTTGACGGCCTGGCGTGCAGGTGCTAGAGCTCATGAAGCCTCAATCTGCTGCGGGTGTCCCGCTGATCATTGAGGGTTCCAGCATCATACAGGCCAGAGACTATTATCAGGGCTTCCACATCATTTGATTCACTATGTGTCTGCCAGTGCCTTCCGCATGTGTTGAAGGCTGAGAAATGGGAGGACGTCTCCCATGTCAAACAGCTGTGGAAGGATCGCCAGGCAACCCGGCCCCGTGATCCACAGCGTCGGCTTGCACTCACCATGGCAGGTGCTGGTCAAGAAGTCGCCCAACTCTAAGTTTCGCAACTCGGCTGTTTTTCTTCCTACATTGCTATTTCATGTTCGAGTGGAGCCTCGGCATCAGATGCTCGGCATTTCTCGGCCCACCCTGCGGATCCCACGAAGGATACTTTGACTTGAAGAAGAACTCTGGCAAGTTTACCTTCAAGCCGCACGGCAGGGTAGAGGTTTGGGTTCGTGTTCGTGTGCTCTCTCGAAGTAGCCAGCTCTGAGGCAGCCAGTGCGGGAGCTGCAGGCACGGCAGAAATGGCGGAACGAAGCACTTCACAGAGACCACTGCAGTCAGGACACCTTCGCGACATTCCTGGAGCAAGCTAACCGGATACTCAGCGAAGGTCTGGGGCCGAGATGTTGAGATCGAAGTGGCTGCCGCTGCAAGTCCAGAAGCGTGCTTACGATCTCCCGGGGCACACTTCTGGGAGCTAAAGATCCATACTTATGTTAGGATGGCAAGAACAGTACATCCGGCCACTTTGAACTGCCACGTCCAAGTTTCCGAAACACAGCATGGAAGACGCATGCGACCCTGGGACCCTGGGAAGCCACACAGACCAGAATGTCTCTACAAGTCCAATGCCGATCAGCGCAGGACCAGGAGTAGTTTCACCAACTACAAACACTATGACAGCAACTATTTCCAGCAAACGTCTGGCACCAAAAGCCGACCCAACTCCCCTTGCAAAGGTCGATTGGGTCAGAACAGGGATTGTGCGATCTGAGTGGTGCAGGATCTCCTGAACGGATGTACCTGCAAGAGACATTGTCCGGTCATTCAGAGATGGCCGAGGACCCGTGGGATTGTTGCAAACGACTGAGATATAGCAACTCCATGGCCACCTGACGAGAAGCAGAGCAATTCCTCCGATCATTCGATCGCCCCTGGAAATCGAGGAGTTTGCTTCTTGGAAATGGGAACTTCCAATTCGAATAAGTCATGCTTGCGGCTGGGGCCTGCCAGATTCCAACGACTCTTTTCCGAGATTCATGCACGTTTTGCTTTCGTTTTCGGCTTGGTGGGTGCAAGATGGCTTGCTGACAGCACGTCCGTTGGCTCGTTGTCCACTGGCCTTGGGCGACGAGAGTCTCTTTGTGGCACCGCTGAGCTTAGGAGCTCTTCGTTGGAATGCAGGGCGCCGAGACGCCACTTCATTTTGATGAGCGGGAAAACTTGTTCTTCCAGGCAGGGGTTCTTTTGCGGAATCAGAGGCCGCATCGCAGTGATCGCCAGGTCAGAGGGCTGAAGGAGATCGTGGTGTTCCCGTTCGTAGATTATTCGAAGCTGTATCCCTTCCCAACAACGCACCCTTGCGATCGGCAGCTTCTTGGCTGCATCATGGAGAGAGGGGCAGCCCCGACACTCACTTGGCAACAGCTCTACGGAATCACTTCTATAAAATGCTGTTATGAGCTACTCGCGTGTTTGGCGGCATCAATCGGATGAGTTGGAATGCATCAGCCGAGGTCCATGGTAGGGAGCCCTCGTGAGGCGGACTTGGATGCATTCCCGAAGTTTAGACATGCCAGTGGACACTATGCCACGCTGCAAGCCGCTGCCTCAGCACCAAGTTGTTTCGAAGAGTTTCAGAACGTGTCGGATTGCTTGCGCAGTCAGGCTGGTGACCTACTGTACCTGCGCTTCGGACGCATAGAGCTGTGATGACTCCAAGCTGCGTCTAAAGTCACCCGAGCTTGTCTGGAGGCCTTACGGTTGGTGGCATTGGCTTCGCAATCTAGACTCTCGGCACCTTTTGGCATTTGTCAAACTGGTGAACTGTCGAGACAACTTCGCACAAATGGCACTGACGTTGTTTCTCGCGAGGACAACATGGCAATTTCGGTGTCGTTTTGGAGCACCACTCCAGCCACCGATTTGTCCGGCGGACACTCGCTGCAGACCGACTGCCGCATTGTTCTGGGGAAGCTTGTATCTTGTGTGCGATGCCTGTCAACTTTTGATCCCAGGTGTACCTTCCGAGTTCTCGGGCCACATGCTCACCCGCGTCGCGCGCCCAAGAACGGAGCAGCTCCAAGCAACTCGTGTGTTTTTCTGAGGTGAAGCGCAACCTGGAGAGAACTCGGGCAGCAAGTCCATCTGTGCCCTGCTCAAGTGCAAGAGACTGGTGCGGCCCAGGCCTTGTGGCCCAGAAGTTTGGCCCCGAAAGCCTTGATGAGACAATGCACCTTGGCCTAAGCGCTACGTGCCTCGCTGCCATGTCCAGCCAGTGCGAGCTTACAGCTGAGTACATGGAGAACTCCCTGAAAGGCTTAAGCTGCAGAGCATCGTCCGCAACAAGCAGGATCTCAGAATGAGTCACACCCACATCTACCCACATCTTCTCTGCATCAGTCACCAGATCCGTTGCAGGACGATCCGGTTCTGAATTATGTCCGTGAGCTTCTGGCAGCTTGATGATGGGAGGGTGCGTTTGGCGAGCCGGGTCTTCGTGTTCCTTTCTTCTCATGAAAGTCGGCCACAGCAGTTCTCCAACGTCACGTGCTCTTCTCAGGCAGCTGTGAAGATCCCGCTGCCGAAGCAGGCTCGGCAGGGCCCAGCCGAGGGACTCAAGTAATTCGTGCTTCCAAAAGCCAGTGACAGACTTTCGCGTGCGCCTGCATGCACTTGTTCATGTGTTGCTGGCTGCTTCTGTGCATGTTCGGGGGAGGGGCACACTGCCTCCCTTGAGCTCCCATGTTTGCAATTTGCGCTCGCTCACCCCCCCCCATCCCCACACGCACATTGCTGTTACTAGGATGACTTCCTGCTCGAGATCATTGAGGGCAGGTTCGGCATAGACTGGAATACTTATGTGCGTCCTGCTGGCAAGAAGACGCTTGCACCGACCATGCTCGCTTGTCGCGTAGGGAACTATTGCCTCAGGTGAGTTCCGCCTGCCGCGTGCATTTCCAAAGATCTGAGATGATGGCGCCATCGTTTCTGTGTCGCGGCCGTGCACGCACCTGCGCATTCTTGCATTTTTTGCTAGGGTTTGCAGCAGAAGCATGTTGTGCATTATTGCCGAACCTGTCCAAAGCACTGAAAATGGGCTGTAAATTAAAAGCCCGTGTCAGATCGGGAACGGAAAGGGTTGAAGAGTCGGCAGACTGCCGTCACTTGATTCCCTGCCCGAACTCACATAGACTCAAAGACTCCGTGCTTTTTACAAAATACTGCCATGTTCCGGGCATGTCATGATGTCAGCTTGGTTCGCTGGTTTCTGCTCATGTACTTTGCCTGGACTTGCTGGGCTCGAAGGGTGGTGTAAGGTGGGAGAGGTTCGTGCCCCTTCAGAAAGGTGCATGGCCAGATATCGCTGTGAGTGTTCCGGCCGCTGGCAATTGCCAAAGCACATCGCTTTGACTCTGTAGGCCAATGATGAGAGTTTGCGCATCTGCCTCAGCTCGAACTTCCAGCACACATCCCGCTTTGTGCAAAACTCTACAAGCTCCAGCCGAGATGAGCGTGGCCTTAGCTGCAGTTGCGGCAGCCATTCCGCAGCCTTCGCCCTGGCCAACTGTGCCCGGATCCCTGCGTCTGAAGAAGAAAAGACAGACAGATACGATGCCAGGACATGCAACGCTTTCTTGAGCTTCAGTTCAGGTTCCATGCGTACATGTTGAAGAACCGCAGCGGCCAGCTGCGCAGCTTGTGCAGCAGATTACAGCACCTGGCGATTTGCATACAAGCACGGCCTGGATCAGGACACACCGATCTTTTCTATGATTGGCCCTACGGTGGCAACCTCCATATTGACAGGTCCGTGCTCTGCGTGCTAAGTGGGGGCTCCTTCTTGCTACTGCTCGCCGCGAGATGTGCTATGTGCATGGACAAGGGGAGTAGCATACCCCGATAGAATGCTCTCCATAGGAACGGCGCTCCCAGCCGTGCCGTGATGCACGTGCATGCAGACTTTGCGAGAGGAGCCCTGGACAAGCACCCTTCTATGACAACGAGCGCCAAAACGGCAGCACGCTGCGCACTCAAGAGTTATGTCAAGCAGCTGCCCGTCTTATGATGATCTGTGTCATTGTGGAGGTATTACTACACACCAAATGGTACCTGCAAGGCCGGTTTAGTGCTATGAAAGAGACGAACTCAGATGCACTGTGATGTCAAGGTCATAGAGATGGGCGTGGGGCTTTTGCCGCCAAACTGGCTGGAGGATGCCCACTATGGCGGAAAGCAAGCCGCAACTTGACCGAGAGTGGGGCGGATTTCCGTCGTCTTATCTCTAGGTCGCGTTCATAGTCGACACTTGGACTTTGACACCGACTGAATCGCGCTGCCGTTTGCCATGGGTTTCGAGGTTGTGTCACCGACAGATCAGTCCATTCGAAACTGTCGCCTCCTCGATTTGCTGTGTGCCTCGAAGCTGGAGCACGAGTTTCTCTCGTTAAAAGTTGATGAGAATGAAGTCATGGGGTTGCAAAAATTGGTCGTGCATATTTCGTGCGGCTCGAGCTGGGCTTTAGGCCTGCGCACATTCACCGGGAACTTACCGCAGCAAGCCATTTTGGCATGCTTTTCATAACAATGGCAGCCTGCCGTGCTGCCGGGCATCGGCTCGCAGCACTGTCTCTGCTGGTAGCCACATCGCTGGGACAGCAACTTGCAGCATTTAGCCGAACGTGCCTGCGGTTTCCTCATACTGTTTTGGGATGTGCCACAGCAGAACATTCAAGGACGGCAGATGAAAACTGCGCCAAGGGGGCATCCATGTTTCAGATGCGCTCGGCAGTGTTCGGCACCAAGCCGGAAGTATGTACGCCGCTGAAGAATCAAGGCAGCGGACGCGTGTCAGTGGCAACACCCGATTGCAGTATGTGGCAGGTCACGAACTACTAATGTTGTGTTCCGCCTCACGATAAACAGGCCCAATGCTTTCGTTTGTGGTTTTTGATCTTATTTTTTCGCAAGCTGATGCTGTGACGTCGTGTGGTGCTGTGCTAGATTATTAGATGGCGAGATGTGCGTCCAAAAGGATGTCTTGCAATGGAAGTGACGGCGGCTAAGTTGTATTGTGCTAGGGAGGTCGGCAGGCAACGGAGATTGACAGAACGCAAGAATGTAAATAAAACGAAAGGGTCAAAGTGAAGTGACAAACAGCCGGGAAGGCGTGAAGCCGACAAGGCCTACAGTAGCCAGCTCGCGCACATAGCCGATAAGAGCCCGAGAACCGCAGGTGCAGTCAAGGTTTGGATAGTTGGTTTGTAGGCTTGGCTTGGCCATCACTTGCAGGCACTTTCTTCTCGGCAGAGGTGTGTGTTGGCACACCCCCTCAATGCTTCGACGCAGTTGCGGACACCGGCAGTGACAACATCATTGTGCCATCTTGCATCTGTGACGAGGTACAGAGCACCGGATGTGGCAGGCATGACAGGTGCTTTCGAGGAACGAACAGGTCATCAACCTTCTCCATTCCATCAGACCCGACCATCGCCCAACTGACTTTTGGCAGCGGCCCCATCGAGGTGGCTGTAGCCAGCGACATCGTCAACGTCTCGGGAGTTTCAGCCACCATGACAAACGGTTTGTTGCTGATCCTCAGCCGAGCAGCTCTGGAGGTGTCAGGGGAGTTTCAAGGCATCCTGGGCCTGGGTCTACCCCAAGACCCTGCCGCAGCTTACGCTGACCCTTCAACGGTCATGGCCAAAACCAAGGAGCCCAAGTCTTTAGGTATCATGGATGCCGTAATTTGCTTGATTTTTCCCCAGCTCTGTGCTGCTACTGCGCCAAAGCCGCAAGTCCAACCACTTGAGACCAGGCTGTTCCTTGAAATGGCTCACATCGATCGCTTTTCGATGTGTTTCCAAGACGGAGAACGACCTGGCGCCTTGAGATTCAACATCCCGGCGCTGTCACGGCCCATCCCGCAAGTTGGAAAGCTGCACTGGGGCATCAGCTTCCACGGTTTGTCTACTGGCCCTCGAAACGGGCCTTCGGATGCAGGCGTTCTCTTTTGCGGTCCGGAGACAATGAGCACGGGCATGACCAGTCCGTGTGGCATCATCCCTGATTCCGGTACGACGCTGATAACTGGACCGTCGCAGCAGATAAAGCTCTTGCAAGCGGAGCTCTGCAGCAAGTGGCCCAGGTGCAGAGAGCAAGCACGTGGGCGGCCTAGCGCCTTCCATTTTGGCATGGTGCTACAGAACTGCTCCCAGTGGCTACACGAGTCGGGCTTGGCCGAGATTCCTTCAATTTTCTTTCACATAAAAGTGGCCGAAGAACGAACAGAGCTTTTCGAGTTGACGTCTTGGGCGTGGGTTACACAAACCGTGGTTGACAACAAGTCGGTTTGCATGCCAGGCTTTGGCGAAATGGAGTATACGACTGCAGAACATGGTCCTGTGTGGATCCTAGGAACACCGCTTTTCTATGAGTATAATGTGGGCTACGACCTGCAGAACCGGCAGGTCTCACTGGAGCGAGGTGCTTGTCAGCCCTGCACATCAGACGCTCTACTCCTGTCGGAATCCAACTCCAGGCTAGTGCCCCGTAAGGGGAAAGGTGTGCCTAGGGCAGCACACATGGACATCAGCCGCCCTTTGTGACAGATTGCATTGCTGGAGTAGAAAAGTGAAAGGCAAAAGGCAGCTTGCTGCTGCATGGCGCTGTCGTATAGTCGTTATACATATGCACCCAACCAGGTCATGTGTGGACGAAGGGTGATGCTATGGGAAACTACACAGGCCAGCCAGCTTCATAGGAGTTGTAGAAATGCAGTTCGTCGCCATTTGACGCGTCTGAAGATTTCAATCACCAGACTGGCAGACTCACGTCACTAGGCTGTTTGCAAGATGTTCTGACAACTGAAGCAGGTCCCTTTATCACCTACTTTGAAGATGAAGTGACAGAGACACCAGCACGTCCGATCCACGTTTTGGAGGATTTCGCTGTCTTTCTGCGCTGTGCTTGCAGCCGGCTCTGTTCTGAAATCGGTTGCCAAGGTTGGGTCTTCTTTGATGGTATGTCCTTCGATATCCTTAGCTGGGAGCCCGGCAAGAAGGCCAGGAGTATCTGTGGGCTTGGAAACGAAAGCCGCTGGCTAAGACAGAGACAATGGCTTAGGATAGCGTGAGCTGTACCTGGTAGGGACGATGAAGTCACAGCTGGGTGCTAAGGTGTACTCAACCCAGTTAGGTTTCATCGAACGTAGCACAGCTGAGCCCACTTGGTCGTCCTCAAAACTTCCGTTATCAGAATAGACGGGGCTTGTCGATCCATGTCTGTTTTTTTTCTGAGCATGGCCACCGCGGGCGTATGCACAGCAACGGCAGCAAGTGTCGCCGATAGCGAAGTGATGGAAAGTATGATACAATGTTGTCAGACCACCTGTATAAAATTGTGGTTTTGAGGATCGCTCTGTGTCACGACGAGGAGCTGTACGGTCAAAGACTTTCAAAGGCTGATAGCAGGGCAGGCAGTGCACCAGTCAGACTGCAAGGACCAAGAAGACCCAGCCAGCCTCATATTTCACAATGTTTAAGATCCTTTCTCCATAGTGCCGTGATGATGGCTTGCAGTGAAATGGCACATATGACTGTTTGCGAAATCTTCCAAGTTCTTTAAAACCTCCGCACCAACTTGGCAGCAAAAATGTGGTCGCGAAGGCATCACGTTGATACTTCTGTAAGGGAGTGACAACCGATGATTCCGGCATGCATACAGTTCCTGAGACAACCCCTGTAGGAAAGCAGCAAAACAGCAGCGATAGACCTGCCACATTGTGCCACATCATCTCAGTCCTCGTCCAGAAAGTTGTCTTCCGAAGATCTTCAGTCTCACCTATTTTCGGAGAAGCACATTATCCGCAGGCGACACCAGCCGAGTGGCAGCACCTTGGACGCACAAGTGGAAAATTGGTCCATCACCTTTCAGTCTCGTCTTTTCTGCAAACTGCAGCCCTACATTCCTGGAAAGACCTAATTGCTTGCTCCTCGAGTGACAGCTGCATGTTTCATGTCTCCAGGACCGTTTCAGAGTAATGTTATGTCTAGCCGAGCCACCAAAGCAGCTCAATGTCTTGCGATGGAACTGCTGTGTCGCGACACCACGATGGCTTGTGCTAAAGACTCCCGCAAGAAACACTTCGACCATTCAGATGACGACATCTGCAGAATCCCAGCGTGGGTTTTCAACCTAAGAATGGTCAGGCTGCAGACCTCAGGCCTCAAGCTACCCGCAACATCGCACTGACTGAGTCGTTCGCCACGAAAGCCTTGGCATGGACTCTCTCCAGGTCTAACAGCATCTATGCAACTGTCGTAGAACTCGCGGAAGCATGCCAGCGACTTTAGCAGGAAAGTGCGGCACCTGAAACTTGGCACCTGCGCACAGCCGATGTCACGCTCATGTGTGCATGCCGGTCTCTCAAGCATCACACTGCCCGGAACAAACGCTCTAGAAGCATTCGGTTGCATTGAAAAAGCTTGCTCCCGATCCTGGCCTAGACGTACATGTAACATTCTCATGAGCTCAAACTTGGACGTGCTAGAAGTTTTTTACTTGATCTGCGAAAAATTACCTGGTCTGTTTCAGTGCGGTACTAGTGGCAGTCAGTCAATCACATGTAGAGGTGTTAGCAGCACTGAGGCTTCCAGCATCTTGTTTTTCCAGCGTGGCCGCAGAGAGCCCTGCGCAATCTTCAGAGGTGTGACGATTGACATCTTGCAAGTTTGCAGTTGCTAGTTTCAGGGCATGTGCGGCCTCTTTCGAGTCAGCTACATGACAGGTTGATTACTTTCACGGCGCGTCGAGATTGCATTTCGGCTGCAACGTAAGCGCAGGAGCTTGTTTCAATGCAGCGAGAGAGGGAGAGAGCTTAGACTTGCAAGGCAGAGCAGTCGCTCTGCAACTCCTCTGGTGGTGTGACGTGGACCGTGAAAAAACCCGAATCGTTCGAGTGCGAGCTCCAGAAAACATGGCAGCCGGCAGTCGGGCATAGATTCGGTCGGTGATGCCAGCTACGCAGTAAGAGCAGGGTTGCCGAGGTTTGGAGATGTCGGGATTTGCCGATTTCATGCTCAGCAAGCTAGGTAGTCTATAAGATTGTGAGTGCCTGAGGGCCGCCAGTTTCCACCGGTCGCCAATGCCAGAAGAAATCTTGCGGTTCTTTTTTTCATGACGGCATCAGACAGCACCTCCTTTTCTGTGTCGGCCTCTCTGCCATGGCAGTGCAGGGCTTTGAAGCCCGGGAGAAGAGTGTCCTGACACTGTACCCAGGATGCATCTGCAAAACCTCGCGTTATCCGTTTCAAGCTTTGTATTGAACCCGATGAAACATGTGATCCTTGAAACTCCACACCTGTAGTAGCTGCTGAGGATCTATCCGAGAAGACCTCAGCAGAGGTTGGTGCTTCTTGGGCTAAAGAAGCGTGGGTTTGGACAGGGCAAATTGAACGGCTTTGGTGGCAAGCTGGAGCCAGGTGAGTGCCTTGAAGACAGTGCACTCAGGGAACTGCAGGAGGAGTGCGGGCTTACAGCAGATCGGGATGGACTGAACTGGCGCGGATCCTTAACGTACCTGTATGATACGAAGCCGAAGGCAATGGAGGTCAATGTTTTTGACTTGAACGTGTGGAAAGGCGAGCCAGAGGAAACAGAAGAAATGAAGCCTGCATGGTACGGTCACGAGGACATCCCGCTTGATAAGATGTGGGCCGATGATGCCTACTGGCTCTTGCAATATTTGGACGAGCAGATGGCCACACCATTCGTTGGCCGATTCCGCTTCAAAGGCCACGAGGGCCCGGACAGCTGGGAGGTTTTAGAGCACTTTGTAGCCCCCCTGGTGCCGGCTTCAGTTCCGCGCTTCGGGCAGAGTGAGCCCGGAGCAGCACTCCTGGTCTCGACCGTCAGCTTCGTCGATGCTCCAAATGCTCGGCCGCTGGAGTCTTTCATCCGGTACCACTTGCGCAAGGGTTTTGCGAGGGTGATGATATTTGTGGACGATCCCTCCGACACCGCGACCCTTGATGTAGTCCGACGCTTCCCCACATCTCGTGTACTGTACCGTGTGCGTGGAGAGGATTTGCTGCAAGCACAGCGCCAGCACTGTGCATCTTTCGAGAAGCTGGCGAGTTTCGTTGACAAAGAAGTATCTGCGCGCCAGCTTCTTGATTTCGAGTTTGCCGCAACACTGGCTCCTTCCTTGGCTTGCCGTTGGATTTTGTGCTTGGATTCTGACGAGTTGTTCTATACTTCCGAGGATTCTATAGTTCCTCACTTCCAGATGCTAGAGTCACAGGACATCCACCAGATGTCTTATCTCAACCATGCCCCTTGGCCACACAGTTTTGTCTTGCACTGTCTTGCACCTCGCTCTTTCTGGCTTTCTGGTCACTGCACTTTTGCATCAAATTGGCAGACTGAGGAAGGTGTGCCTGAGCAGCCCGAGACTCAGGATTACTTTGCGACGGTTTCGTTGTTCAAGCAGCACCAGTTCGCAGTGCCACTCACGGCCAAAGCTCGAAGTGGCCTGCGCTTTTGGATGGATCGATCAAAGCACGGCCAGTACTTCTTATTTTACGACAATGGCAAGAGCGCATGCAGAACAGGCCTTGGTGCAACACCCAGTAGCCAGCATCTGTGGCAACTGCCAGCAGGCCACAAGTCCTGCACCGCCCTAGCAGATCCTAGACGTATGGATGTCGAGGGGTTTCGGGAGTGCAGAGATCCGTGTATCCTTCACTTTCCTGTCTGTGGCGTCAACTGGCTATATGCGAAATACAAGACTCTTGGTGCTTTTCCAGACAAGTGGCTTGGAAACATGCCCCTGAATGAATCCTTTCATAAGGATGCGAGGGAAGCACATCTCTCGCACGGGGATGCCCTGTCGGCATTGTTCACAGAGCAGGTAATGCTCGATTCGGCGCAAGCAGCAGCGCAAATCGCCTGTGGGACTTGCGTCAGACTGACAGAACATGTAAAGGTCTTGGATTCAGTCCCAGCTGCAACGACCACGCTGGATTCAACTGCAGATCCGGCTCTCATCAACAGCGCAGTGGCTCAAGGTGATACTCTGGTTGGAGTGGAGCGTGGATGGATCTTGTCGAAGGCTATGGGCTACTTGTCGCCAGAACTCCAGTAATTGAGCAGACGAACATCCCACTTGGAACGGCAATGGGTCCATGATGCATCCAAACCGGGGCCATGCCGCTCATGTCGGTGATCTGACCGGCTGCTGAGGCGTCGAACCGAATATTGCGATATGACGTATTAGCCGAACACTCTATGGCACAACATCGCAGGGTGGAGAACGAGAAGAACATTGAAGTGATCTCCGTGCAGGGCAGTTAAAGGCCCGAACACGGACTGTTCCATGTAGCTTGAAAACAGATCTTCTGGCATTTGCATTTACCAAACAAATTCTTCTCTAATTGAAATGAAAAATTTATCCATTTGATAAATAAATCGAAATTAGATATTCAATAATCTGGCCGGCTGTTAAGGCTATTTTTTTTTTTTTATTTTTTCTGTTTTGTTAATTAGTTATGATTATTTCTTTATTTTCGGTTTCTTAAAATATCACATGAAACTCATGT